TCTAGATACCCAGTGAGATTGAGTTTCCATCACTCCCGGCCTAGCACAGTCATTCTCCATGTAAAGTAGATGGGAAACAACCCCCAAAGCAGAACTGTGTTGAATGCAACATATTGGGGAACCAGCTGCTCAGAGGCGATAGGGAGGGTGTCTTCTACTCATGCATCCCTTTATCTCTGTTTGGGGCTGTGGAGCGTGTCAGCTGCAGCACCGGCTTTCTCGGAGAACCTGGCTGGGGCATGAAGAGAGACCCGCCCAGGAAAGATTCAAATGCTGCCCAGCTGATTAGCAGAGCGCCCTGCTAGCAGCATGCATTTCTATTGGTGGTGCACATTCACACATGCCTGGGTGCACACTAAAAAATTATTCTGCACATGAAAACAATTAGAGGAAACGTTGCCCCTGCCCCCACAGCCTTTCTCATTCCTAACTTGAACTGCAGTTTAGTGCTGAGTTCTGTCGCTAGGCCATGTTGGTCAGGGACTAAGGCAGAATTAGCGAAGGCTTAGGTACACTCTCCAGCAGCTGGTTAATGCAGTGCCATGCGGCCCGCAGGGGGAGAGAGATTTTTCAGGCAGCCTCATTTGTACTTTTCAAGCAGAGCACAAGCTTCCCCGCAGGGGGCCTGGCTTGGGGGCAGGGTCTCTAGGGTTGAACCTATTTGCAGTATGGTAGGCTGATTCAGTAGGGGGCGCTGCGCTGTTCCCTGGCAGTCAGTGCTGACCCCATTGCCCCCCTGCAGTGCTGCAGGAAGGCAGTAGGGGGAGCTTTTCTCGGACAGCCAGTGTGACGCTAGGTGGCGCTGTGCTGCAAGGCGAGGGCAGTAGGGGGCGCTGTCCCCTGGCAGTCAGTGCTGACCCCATTGCCCCCGTGCAGTGCTGCAGGAGGGCAGTAGGGGCCGCTTTTCTCGGACAGCCAGTGCTGAGCAGTGCCCCAGGGCGGCGCTAGGTGGCGCTGTGCTGTAGGGCAAGGGCAGTAGGGGGCGCTGGCCCCTCCCTGGGGTTGGCACTTTCCCCCCGGTCCCCGCTCGGGGTTTGTTTCGCCCCTCCCTGGGGTTGGCACTTTCCCCCCGGTCCCCGCTCGGGGTTTGTTTCGCCCCTCCCTGGGGTTGGCACTTTCCCCCCGGTCCCCGCTCGGGGTTTGTTTCGCCCCTCCCTGGGGTTGGCACTTTCCCCCCGGTCCCCGCTCGGGGTTTGTTTCGCCCCTCCCTGGGGTTGGCACTTTCCCCCCGGTCCCCGCTCGGGGTTTGTTTCGCCCCTCCCTGGGGTTGGCACTTTCCCCCCGGTCCCCGCTCGGGGTTTGTTTCGCCCCTCCCTGGGGTTGGCACTTTCCCCCCGGTCCCCGCTCGGGGTTGGTTTCGCCCCTCCCCGGGGTTGGCACTTTCCCCCCGGTCCCCGCTCGGGGTTTGTTTCGCCCCTCCCTGGGGTTGGCACTTTCCCCCCGGTCCCCGCTCGGGGTTTGTTTCGCCCCTCCCTGGGGTTGGCACTTTCCCCCCGGTCCCCGCTCGGGGTTTGTTTCGCCCCTCCCTGGGGTTGGCACTTTCCCCCCGGTCCCCGCTCGGGGTTTGTTTCGCCCCTCCCTGGGGTTGGCACTTTCCCCCCGGTCCCCGCTCGGGGTTTGTTTCGCCCCTCCCTGGGGTTGGCACTTTCCCCCCGGTCCCCGCTCGGGGTTTGTTTCGCCCCTCCCTGGGGTTGGCACTTTCCCCCCGGTCCCCGCTCGGGGTTTGTTTCGCCCCTCCCTGGGGTTGGCACTTTCCCCCCGGTCCCCGCTCGGGGTTTGTTTCGCCCCTCCCTGGGGTTGGCACTTTCCCCCCGGTCCCCGCTCGGGGTTTGTTTCGCCCCTCCCTGGGGTTGGCACTTTCCCCCCGGTCCCCGCTCGGGGTTTGTTTCGCCCCTCCCTGGGGTTGGCACTTTCCCCCCGGTCCCCGCTCGGGGTTTGTTTCGCCCCTCCCTGGGGTTGGCACTTTCCCCCCGGTCCCCGCTCGGGGTTTGTTTCGCCCCTCCCTGGGGTTGGCACTTTCCCCCCGGTCCCCGCTCGGGGTTTGTTTCGCCCCTCCCTGGGGTTGGCACTTTCCCCCCGGTCCCCGCTCGGGGTTTGTTTCGCCCCTCCCTGGGGTTGGCACTTTCCCCCCGGTCCCCGCTCGGGGTTTGTTTCGCCCCTCCCTGGGGTTGGCACTTTCCCCCCGGTCCCCGCTCGGGGTTTGTTTCGCCCCTCCCTGGGGTTGGCACTTTCCCCCCGGTCCCCGCTCGGGGTTTGTTTCGCCCCTCCCTGGGGTTGGCACTTTCCCCCCGGTCCCCGCTCGGGGTTTGTTTCGCCCCTCCCTGGGGTTGGCACTTTCCCCCCGGTCCCCGCTCGGGGTTTGTTTCGCCCCTCCCTGGGGTTGGCACTTTCCCCCCGGTCCCCGCTCGGGGTTTGTTTCGCCCCTCCCTGGGGTTGGCACTTTCCCCCCGGTCCCCGCTCGGGGTTTGTTTCGCCCCTCCCTGGGGTTGGCACTTTCCCCCCGGTCCCCGCTCGGGGTTACCGGGGGTGCCCTGCTCTGGATCCCTACGTGCTCCCATACTGGCACAGGGCTGGGGTCCCCTGCATGACTCAGGCTGTTCCACCTGCTTGTTTGCCTTGTCCTGTGAAACAGACGTGCTCTTAGGGTCTGTTCTGTTCCTAGGGGCCATGGGGCTTCCTCACTTCACCTACAGCCTACACTGGGGAAAGGGGTCAAAGTATCCCCACGGGTACAACTTCAGCAGCCCTGTGCCCACTGCTGCTTGGTGTGAGAGCCTTGGCAGTGCACTGCTGAGCCTTCCAGTGCCTGCAGGGCTGGGAAGCTACCTAAGTATGGACGCTCTGAGCGCAGGCCTGTGTGCATGGAAATCTTTTACCAGAGATAGCCTTTCTCCGGCATGTGTTTTAGTTTTATAGGTTAAAGAGATGTTTACACTCCCTAAAGTTTCGAGCAATCTGCTTTGCAAATCCCTCCCTCTTTGACTTGCTGTAGCTTTCAGTATCTTGCGATGTCAAATGCCACTGGTTGTCCACTCGCTGCGAAGTGTCCTGCATCAGACAAGACATGATTATTTAACAACAAGCCTATAATGGTACAGGCTGGAATCTCCTGCTGAGAAAGGGCCCTATTGCGTTGGGCTCTATGCAGATTGAGAGAGCTTTTCGGGCCTGAAGAACGTTCTGTCTAAATAGTTGAGACAAAGGGAAGTAGGGAGGGTGAATTTTGGCCCCTAAATTGCCATATGGGAGCCGAGGCTCAAAGAATGACTTCTGTGAGGTAAATCCAATGCAAAGTTGGGAATTAAGCATATACAGGCAGTCCCCGGGTTACATGGATCCGACTTGCATTGGATCCCTACTTCCAAACGGAGTGAGGCAACCCCGCACTAGCTGCTTCCCCCCAGCAGACCAGGGAGACGCAAAGCTAGCGTGCTCCCCCCCCCCGAGCAGACTAGGGAGACACGGAGTGGCTTTTCTCAGCAGACACCTGAGAATAAAGGACTGAGGGAAGTGAGGTGTGGGAGAATAAAACTGAGCTCTGGAGAAATGTTTGGCTAGAGTTTCCCCTACAATATGTACCAGTTCCGACTTACATACAAATTCAACTTAAGAACAAACCTACAGTCCCTATCTTGTATGTAACCTGGGGACTGCCTGTACAGGGCTCGCCAAGCGGCAGCGAGCCCTGCTCGCCAGCCGTATGGTTCGGCATGCTGCGCATGCACTTATTGCACTGCACCGCTGTGCCAGCTTGTAATCTATTCACCACGGGCGAGTAGATTACACTAATGGTCGAGCTCTGAGCATGGATCTCCTGGATCCCCGTCTAGTGCCTCAATCCCACAGCTGCCAGGTTTCCTAGTATAAAATATGCAGAGGAAATAATTGTTCTGTTCTTATCTACTATATAACTGAGAGAGTTTGTCTGTCCAAGAACTCCTCCCAAACGGTGAGAACTAGGACTACCGAATTTGGTAGGCAGCTTCCTGTTGTTACAACTTAAAGCAGCGTAAGCGTTTGGTTATGCCAGGAAAATGGGATGTGCCTGGAATGGGATTGCTTCTCATCAAACCAAACAGAGGAGGAAGTTACAGCAAGGTGACTGGGAGTTGGGAACCTGCCTTCTATTCACAAAGTAGAATGGGGGATGTTGAGCAATGAAAGTCAGGACTCCTGGGTTTTCTGCCTAATTCTGGGTCTGAGTGAGGACATGGTTCCAGCAGAGAAACTAGGAGTCAGGACTCCTTGGTCTTCATTGTGGCTCTTCCGCTGTGTCTGGACGTAACACGGTGTCTTGCTTCCCTGTCTGCACCTGCTGCAGAGGTGTGTTGCGACCCAGTTTCAATTCATACATCCTGGAGATCTCTGCTGAAGGTGGCCGCGTGTTTACAGATTTGACTGGTTTTCCCCAGCGTGACCACATTTGGGCTGTTAAAACTTCACCAGCTTGAGAGTCCACCTGATCCCCTCCCCTCCCAGGAACCTTCCACTAGTCCTGCCCTGGAGCAGCCACTTGGGGGGAAGAGCCAGGAACTTGGTCAGTGTGGGTCATGTGATCTCCAGCCCATAACACCTACAGCCCGGCACATTGTGGTGTTTGTGTTTGACTAAGCTCATTGCTTTCACTAATTATCCCCATCCCTATCTCCCACCATCTCTATTTCAGTGACTTCCTACCACTCCCCTTGGTTTCCTCAGCTGTCTCCTCACCTGTACAGCCCTAACAGTCCAATCCCATCCCATTTATTATTCCTCGCTAGCAGCAGACTGTATTTGAACTCACAACCTCAGTCCTTTGAGTCCTCTAATCTCCTCTCAGTCTCGCCGCTTGGAAGATGCTAGTACTCTTGCCTTTATTGGAGGAACCAGCCAAGCTCCCGTCATGCTAGGTGCTGTGCAAACCCCTAGTAAGAGAGATTAATCCAAAGAGACATGATAAAATGTGGGAAGGGAAAGCGCTGGGAGTGGGATGCAGTCCTAGTGAGTACCCAGCCTGTGTTCTAACCACTGGATCATGCTGCCTCCTTCATTGCCCTTTCTCATTGGCTCTCCTGATGACAAGTTAGGGGGATGAAACACCGCTCTTTCTTCTGTCCTTCCCTGGAAGCAGCCGTGCTAAACTTTTTCCATTCTAGGCTATTTGCAAAGCAGTTTGCCCGAGTGATTTATTTAGGATGTTTTGCTAGTGCACATTTCTGGAGTCCCTTGCATCAGTTTATTTAGGGGACAAACACCTCCCCCCCGTGGGTTTTCTTATCTTGTGACTGAAATAATCCGCCCACCCTTGCCTTTTCAGAATAACACCAAGAACCTGTTTGTGTTCTCCAAGACAATGTTCAATGGCTCTTCAATCGCTCTCCAGGGTGAGTAGCTTCAGAGGTCTTGAAATTAGGGATGTAAAATCTCATTTAATTAGGTAACTAGTTAAGCATGGTTTAATAATTTCATGATTCGGCAGGACAGGTGGGGGCTGTGCCAGTTAATCATAACCGGGAAGTGTCACCTAGTAAAGGTGATGCTAACCAGTTAATCTACAGCCCTACCTGAAACATGGCTTAGAACAGGGAGGGGTGTTGTGTGTATGATAACTGGGCCTCCCAATATCCATCAGCTAAACCATGCAAAACGTTTGAGCCAAAACAGGGGAGACCCAGATGTGTAAAGCTCCTAAAGCCCAATGGGGGCAGGATTTTCAGATTCCATAGAGCATTTGGGGGATGTCTGGCCATTTTCTAACCATTTTCCTAACGTTTTCCACAAAGCTTCATCTCGGTTCACGTGGTTCCTTGAAAACTATTTGCTAATGGGAAACTGTGTCAAAGAAGATCTAGCATGCTGTGAGAAGCATATGCCTAAGTGTTTGCATGTTCAGCCCTTCATTAGGAGCCTAAATACAGAGTTTACGGAGCTCGGTTTTAGGCAACCAGATTTGAAACCTTTCATCTCAGCTTTCCTGAGAGGGGAATACTAAATCTTAGAGAACTGGAGCTGTCCAATAAACGGAAAGAATTCTGTGATAGGTAACTCACTGAGCTGGGGCATTTAAAAATGTCCTGTTTTGAAAAGCCCTTTGGATTCTATCAAAACACTACTCTGTTATGTGTCATTTCAGCAGCTGCTATGCTATGTGCTCAGAACTCCAGGGAGAGAGAGAAAACATTTAAAACAGCCCCAGTGTTCAGCGAAGATCAGCAGTGACAGTTGTGCATGTCACCAAGGAACATACAAAATATGTGTCTCGTCCTATTGTTGGGAGCCAGGGACAATGTTCCAAAGCATCACAAAATGTCTTTGCTTTTTTTAAAAAAAAAAATAAAAAATCTCAGTTGCAAAAGAATATGAAACACAGGCCCTGAGTTAGCAGGATAACTAAGTTTTCAGCATGGAATCTGTTTCTGTTGAAGCTAATGAGTAGAACTCTGCAAATCCACAGATACCTGTTTTATATTTACAGCTACAAAGTTTGTATCTGCACAGGGCTCTGCTAGTGAGTCCCTTGTGCTGTATTGCTGAGCTCAGGGGTTTAAAACCTGCATGTCGGCTCCCCCAGCATCACATGATGGACTGGCAAATGATGAGATTTTGAAAAATGATTAATAAAAACACACCTCATGTTTTGATTTCTGGTATCAGATGCTTGAGGGAGTCAGATTTTCTGGCTTGTCTTGAGTCTCATCTGATTGTGTAAATTCAGTGGTTGGGGCTTTAAGTGCCGGAGATCAGCTGAGCTGGCAACGCTTCAAGTGAGGGATGTAACAGCAACATGCTGGGGGTTGACGTTCTCTGGCAGCCACACACAGGGTGGATTTGCTTAGTGCCTGTACCCTGGAGAGGAAGCGAGAGAAACTGAAAGGAAAACTGACCCATTGCGGATTGGCCCTTCCAGCTGAACAAGGTCCCTGGGCCTGTGGAGTCCCAAATATTCAGCCTTTGCTGGTGGGACAGAAGCAAATTGGTCTCTCTCCGAAAAAGATGTTGTGTGGCTTGAGTTCTGACCAGAGACGTGGGAGAGCTGGTTTTTGCTTCTGGCTCAACTGCTGACCCGACCCATCCCTGCCTCAGTTTCCCTGTCTGTGAAGTGGGGTTAATGATACTCCTTTCCTCTCCCTCCCCGCCCCAGCTCCCCTTGCAAAATAATTTCAGATTTACAGCCTCTCCCCGACTTACGAACTGGTTACAGACCAAGCAATTGGTCATAACTCGGTTTGTTCGTAAATCGGACCCCATAGAGTTACACACGACCGCGCTGTTCATAAGCACGGATCGCATTTGTAACTCGGGGTCCGCCTTTTATGACAGCTTCGGTCGTAAATGCGAACAGTCGTAAGTCCTTCCAAGTTTAGCATCTTCTAATCTTATCTAATCTCCGGTCTCACCCCCATCACACCACTACATACTCTGGTGGTGGGGGAAGGGCTCCCCGTTTTATCTCCATATTTTTTCCAATGTTGATGTTATCTCTGTGTTTTTCTGTTGAGGAGGCAAACGGCTTGCATTGCACCCTGTCGTGATCAATGACTCGTGCAGCCCCCCAAGAGAGATTCAGGTGCCACCCCGCTGATTATCAGAGTGCCCACAGCAGGCAGCATGCAGTGCTACTGGTGGTGCACATCCATGCGTGCCCTGGTGCACATACAAATGTATTCCACACGTGGCAAAAACTAGAAGGATTATGGGTCATGACTGCAGCTCCGTTGCCGGGGTGTTGGGTGCTCGCTGGCTGGGTGATGAAGGTTCCTCTGTTTTGCAGTGCTGCCAAAGGCGTGCTCCCCGGGGCTGACCCTCAACCTGACCTGGTACCTGCGGAGCTCCCATTGTCACAACGAAGTCTACATAGATGTAAGCCCCTCCGTGTCCTCGTGGCCTGGGCTCTGCTTGCTGGGTGATGAGGGGAGCAGGAGACGCTTGGGAAAGGCGGAGGAAGTGGGGTGATTGGATGGACGAAGGATTCAGAACAGATTGGTTGGCATGAGAGTAGGGATGTTAGAGTTTAACTGATTAACCAATTAGCTGATGCTTTGCTGTGGCAGGGCAGCAAAGTCTCCTCCCCAGGAGCCGGGTGAGGAAGGGCTGCCAGCTCTGCTTCTGGGGAGACTTTGCTACAGGCTCTGCAGAATAAAGCTAATCTATATACTGCAGAGTCCGCAGCATGTGTAACCGCTAAGATTTTTTTAAGCAATTACACGGTTACCAAATTAAATGATTACCATCCCTACATGAGAGCTCTGAGCATAGAGGCCTTTTACACCTACTCTCCCAGAGGGACCCTTGTCCAGTGGTTAGAGCAGGAGCCAGGAGTGCTGGGTTCTATTCCTGGCACTCAGAGTGTAATGCGTGAGACTGGGGAATGGTGTCTGGTCGGGGTTCCTGGCTTCTGTTCCCAACTGTACCATGGATTCCCTATAATCCTGGGCGAGTTCTTTTCCCCACCCCATGCCTCAGTTTCCCCTCTGTGAAACGAGGATGATACTGACCTTGCAAGTGAATGGTGGGAGCTGGGTTTGGGAGGCATCATTAATGTGTATAAATCGCTTTGGAGCCATTGGATGGAAGACGCCCCAGTACAAACTATCGTTAAAATCCTTTAGTGTCAGGGAGTGGGGGAGGAGGGGACAGTGGGGACATGTGGTACTGTTGTTGGCGTGGAGGTATTTTAGGGATTTTCTCAATTTTAAGGAAAATTTAGAATTGCCAATCTGGGACAGTTAAACCAGATTAATGATTTGTGTGGCTGCTCCTTTGGAATAAGTGGCCTTAATTCAGTGGAGTTGAATTCACTGAAATTCAGATTAACGAAATTAAGGTCACTGAATGTCCACATGGAGCAATAGAGAAACCTCTTGAATCACAGAATCCTAGAGCTGGAAGAGACCTCAGGAGTCACTGAGTCCAGCCCCCTGGCCAAAGCAGGACCAATCCCAACTCAATCATCCCAGCCAGGGCTTTGTCCAGCTGGGACTTAAACACCTCTAGGGATGGAGATTCCACCCCCTCCCTAGGGAACCCAGCCCAGTGCTTCACCACCCTCCTAGGGAAATAGTTTTTCCTAATATCCAACCTAGACCTCCCCCAGTGAAATCTGAGACCATTGCTCCTCCTTCCGCCATCCGTCACCATTGAGAAGAACCTCTTCATCCTTTTTGGAACCTTCCTTAGGTAGCTGAGTGCTGCTATCACATCCCCCTGCACTCTTCTCTTGGTAATGGTGACTGTAATATAATTAGCATCCCTGTGGTAGCGGAAACACCAGAGCAGCCCACCACTATAGCATTTAATTTCAGATAGGGGAACTAAGCAAAAATGTGTAGGAAGTTAATTATACATTAAAAGGTACAGTGCCAAAAGTAAAAAGTTTTCATGCTTAGAGATTTCAAAGACCCGATAATACAGTCTCTACTTAAATGTGTGCCCCAGATTAAAAAACATAATCAGAGAAGCTAAAAACAAAGTAAAAGAAGCAATAAGAGTTCAAAAGGATCATTTAAAAAGTGGAAGTTAAATCCTAGTGAGGAAAATAGAAAGGACTCTGGCATAAACTCTAGCAAACAAAATGTACAAAATATAATTAGGAAGGTCAAAAAGGAATTAGAAGAACAGTGAGCCAAAACCTCAAAGGTAACAGGAAAAACATTAAGCCCAGGCGACCCCTGCACTTACGACCTAATTGGTTCCTGGAGAACCATTGTAAGTCAAGCCATTGTAAGTCAAACCCTTATTTCCCATAGGCGCAATGTTATAAGTAGCGGTTCTGTTCCTGGAAACCCATTTCATACCCTAAAAATACCAAAATTGACTACAGAAATGGAGGAAAACTAAACTAAATGGTTCAAATAATGCACAAAAATAACTAAAAAGTGAAAACCGACGTGGCGGAGACGCTCACCGTTCAAGCAGGAACTGCAGACTGGAGAGTCTGACTGACCTTGTGTGTTTCCTGTTTTGGGATGATGCATGGAGTCTGCGTTGAATCTGTCATAAATGCGAGTGGCGGACGTACATTGGGGGGTTTTAGGAGCTCTCTCGCATGGGGAAAAAAATGGTTGGAAATGTGGGGGGTCATAAGTCGGGTGTTCGTAAGTCTGGGGTCGCCTGTACTTCAGAAACAGGAAGCCTTCTAAACACCCAGGGGCCGCTGGACAATTGAGATGCTAAAGGAGCAATGAAGGGAGACAAGACCATTGTGGAGAAACTGAATGAATTCTTTGCATCAGTCTTCACGGCTGAGGATGTGAGGGATATTCCCAAATCTGAGCCATTCTTTGACAGATCGGAGGAGAGGTGTCATTAGAGGATATTTTAGAAAAAATTGATAAATTAATGAGTCACCAGGATCAGATGGTATTCACCCTACCATTCTGAAAGAACTCACATGTGAAATTGGAGAACAACTAACTGGTTTGTAACCAGTCATTTAAATCAGTGTATATACCAGATGCCTGGAGCATAGCTAATGTGACACCAGCTTCTTAAAATAATTCCAGAGGTGATTCTGGCAATTATAGACCAGTAAGTCTAACTATAGTACCAGGCAAACTGGTTGAAACGATAGTAAAGAAGGGTATGTCTACGCTTTCAAGAGAGCGATGCAAATGAAGCCGGGATTTACATATCCCGTGCTTCATTTGCATAATTGCATTATGGCGCTATTTCGAAATAGCGCTATTTAGAAGTAACAAACGCGGTGTAGATGGAGCTATTTCAGGAGAACACACTTCCCATGAAATAACCCTTATTCCTCATAAAATGAGGTTTAACAGTTATTTCGAAAGAAGGGTGTTCTCCCGAAATAGCCTCATCTATGCTGCGTTTGTTACTTCTAAATAGCGCCATAATACGATTATGCAAACGTAACGGGATTATGTAAATGCCGGCTTCATTTGCAATTTGAATGTCTTCATTTGCATGAGGGTGCAAGTGTAGACATCCAGAGTTGTCACACAGAGCTGAACATGTTTTATTGGGGAAAATTCAACATGGTTTTTGTAAAGTGAAATTGTGCCTCACCAAACTGCTATAATTCTTTGAAGGGGTTTAAAAGCATGTGGACAAGTGGGATCCAGTGAATATGCTGTACTTAGTTTTTCAGAGAGCCTCTGACAAGGTCTCTCACCAAGAGTTGGTAAGCACAGTAAACTGTCATGGGATAAGGAGGACGGTCCTGTTATGGATTGGTAACTGATTAAGACAGGAAACAAAGGGTAGGAATAAATGGTCGGTTTTCCAAATGGAGAGAGGTGACTAGTGGTGCCCCGTAGGGGTCTGTACTTGGACCAGAGCTGTTCAACACATTTCTAAGGGTACATCTACACTACAGCGTTAATTCGAGTTAATTCGAATTAACTATTTCTAATTAAGTTAAGCTAATTCATATTAACGCATCTACACACAAAAGCTATTTCAAAATAGCGTTTTGCTATTTCAAAATATCGTGTCCACACTGAGTGGACCCTGAACCGAAGTTCAGGCTGGCCGGAACCAGTGTCGGCAGGGCATCAGGTTAGGAATTAGTGTGTGGTGCTGCTGTCTGAGGCTAACTGAGCTCTGTGCTTAAAGGGACCCTACCCCCACCCTGGACAGACAGTTCTCAGGGTTCCCCGCTTGCTTGTTTACCTCAATGAGGGACAGCAAAGCATTCCTGTCTTGGAGTGCCCTGAGTGCCCGCACTCGGGACGCCGCAGCACTCGGCCACATGGAGCCAGAGCTGCCCCTGGGCACGCCGGTGCATCTTGTGGGGTTATTGCCCTCAGCCCAGCTGCACTTGCTGCAGGCTGCCAGTCGAGGAGTCCATAGGAGGGCTGTCAGGATCCAGGAGGCCCTGCGGGAGAACGTCCACCCCGAAGAGCCCTCAGAGCCACCGCGGTTCTCCCCACTGGGGGCTCGTGCCCATTCCTCCCTCACGTCCTTCCACTTATCCTTCTCTAGCCTCCCTTCCTGATGTCAAACAAAAGACATGTATGTTCAAAAATAGAAACTGGGTTTATTGAACAAAATTCCCCCCAATGGTGGTGAACCTTTGGGGAGACTGGGAAAAGGAGGTGGGAGAGGGGAAGAGAGAGGGTGGTAGAGAGGAGGGGGAAACCTGGGAGGAGGGAGCTGGAAGGGGGAAGTGAGGGGAAGCTCAGGGCCCAGGGTTGGGGGTCTCGCCAGACCAACTTGATTTTCATGCACACCTGCTCCTGGGTTCGCATGTGGCCTTTGGTGGCCAGGCTGGCAGCTATCCTGCTATAGATGGCCGCATTCCTCCGTCTAGTGTGGAGATCATGGACCTTGGGGGCATCCCTCCCAAACCTGAATAAGGTCCAGGATCTCCATCCTGGTCCAGGATCTCCATCCTGGACCAGGAAGGCGCCTGCCTTCTCCAGCCCCTGTCAGGCTCCTGGGAGCTGGCAGACTGCTCCTGGGGAGTGGTGGAGGGCTGGCTGCCAGTGGCTTGCTGGCTTATGTTTTGGGGCCACTGGGTCGGGGCCCCAGTGGCCACTGCTGGCTCTGGGCTGACAGGCTTGGAACTGGCATAGGCACTGTGGCTAGGGTCTACCCCTTTAATGGCTCCGGTGCTGGGGGAGAGGAGAGTAAGTTTTCCTGATTGTGCCCAGAGTGGCCTCCAGGGCTCCCTGGGAAGGGCTGGAGGCCACCTATTTCGAATTAAGTGTCTACACAGCACTTAATTCAAAATAGCTATTCAAATATTTCGAAAATGGCGTTACTCCTCATAGAATGAGATTTACCAAATATGAATTAAAGTTGGCATGTATAGACACTATTAAAGTTAATTCGAAATAACAGCTGTTGTTTCCAATTAACTTTGCAGTGTAGACATACCCTGAATGATTTGGAAAAAGAGGAAAATGGTGAGGAGGCAAAATTTGCAGATGATAAAAAACAACTCAAGATAATTCTGTCCAAAGCTGAATGCAGAAAGTTACAAAGAGATTTCACAAAACTGGGCGACTGGGCAATCAAATGGCAGACGAAATTTAATGCTGATAAATGCAAAGTAATGCACATTGGAAGTCATAATCCCAGTTCTCCATACAAAATGATGGGGTCTAAATTAGCTGTTGCCACTCAAGAAAGAGATCTTGGAGGCATTGGAGATAGTTCTCTGAAAACATCCACCCAGTGTGCAGTGGCAGTGAATAAAGTGAACACAGTGTTGGGGATAGATAGTAAGACAGAAAATATCATATTGCCTCTGTATGAACCCACGGTATGTCCACGTCTTGAAATTACGGGCAGATGTGGGCGCCTCTTCTCAAAAAAGATACATTGAAATTGGAAAAGGTTCAGAAAAGGACAACACAAATGATGAGGCGTATGGAACGGCTTCCGTATGAGGAGAGATTAAGACTGGGGCTTTTCAGATTGGGAAAGGGAGAACTGGGGGGAGAGGGAGGATATGAAGAGGTCTGTAACAGTGTTTCCTGATTTTATTTGGCCACAGAACCCTTTTCAGCTTAAAATAATTTCAAGGAACCCTTAGGGTTCCCAAAGTAAAATTTGGCAAGTGCAAAAAAAAAAAAAAAAAGCCCCTCCAGAACTGGTTGAGCAAAAAAACCTGCAAAATACTCTGTCTCTTTAAGAGGGGGCGGGGCAATGCCGCGTTCTCACGGAACCCTTACTTTCGCTTTGCGGAACCCTGAAGTTCCACGGAGCACCAATTGGGAAACACTGGTCTATAAATCATGGGGTATGGAGACAGTAACTGAGGACGTGTTATTTACTGATAACATAAGAACTAGGAGTCGCCAGATGTATTAATAGGCAGCCGGTTCAAAGGAAAGGAAAGGAAATATTTCTTCACCCAACGTACAGTCAGCCTGTGGAATTCCTTGCCAGAGGATGCTGTGAGGGCCAAGACTATAGCAGGGTACCAAAAAAGAGCTGAATAGGTCCCTCAATGGCTATTCGCCAGGCTGGGCAGGACGATGTCCTTACCTCTGTTTGCCAGTAGCTGGGGATGGGCAACGGGAGGGAATATTTGATCCCCTGGTCTGTTCATTCCCTCTGGGGCACCTGGCACTGGTCACGGTTGGCAGACAGGACACCGGGCTAGATGGGCCTTTGGTCTGGCCCTTCTTGTGTGAACTAAAAGCTGTGAATTTAAACCAGATTCATTCACAGTTCTTTCCCCATGTAGACTAATTCTTGGGGGGAGCTGAATGGGAGGAGGGTGTTGATTTTTTTCCACTCGTTTGCTGGGAAATGACCCCTCCCTGCTGGACTCTCCTTGATGCACAATGTCATGGCTACCCCTGGGGGGGAGGGAGGGGGCGGCTCACCCGCCCTTCTCTCTAGGATGTTGGCCGGAGCATACTGAGCGGGTGATGGGCTATTGGGATCAGTCTGGTCAGGAAGATCTCTGGGCCTCGGTTCTAGTCTCTCCCCACCCCTGCAGGAGAAGAGAGCAGAGATTTACCTGGCAAACTACAAGATGGAGATGGAGCCGAAGAGCTCTGGCCAGTACATGCTGCACACCTACAAACCCTTCAACTGCAGCCACCCGATCCCCCTGGAGGTGAGTTCCCTCTGGGGCTGAGGGCTGGGAAACCTGGGGTGGGGGGGCTGGGCAGAGAACAGAGCCCAGATCTCTCCATTTGAACAGCGCTCTTAGGAATGGGAGTGCGGGGCGGTGTCTGGTGGCTGGGAGGTCCTGGGGGGGGCCAGTTTGGGGGGTGCCCTTGTCAGGCAGATTGGGTGGGGGGGTGGGGTGGCTTGTGGCCCTGGGGATTCTCATTCAGCTGCTTGAAAAAGAAGAGTAGCTGGGGGCTCTTTGGCTGTTGGAGGGTCTGGGGGCCCTGATGGCTGCGGGGATCCCGGGGTGCCCCCCTGCTTTCTGCCAGCTGCTCTTGGTGACTCTCCTCTCTCTCTTGCTTTCGCTGAATATGGAGGCGTTCAAGCTCCCTGCCCACATGGATCACCCCAAGGAATTGCAGGTGAGTAATCCCACTCCACCCTCGACAAGGGCTGCTGCCACCCCCTGCTGCTGCCTCTTTATCAGAGGCAGCAGCACAGGGTGACAGGCAGCTAGTCCACAAGGGGATCTGTTTTTTAAACTAGTGCCCCTCATAGACCAGCTCCTACCTGGCACCCCCTGCTGCTGCCTCTTAATAGAGGCAGCAGCAGCACCACGGAGTGGCAGGGGGCTCTTTGGGAGGGAGGCGCATTGTCTGCCAGCCCCACCCCCGGGAGCTAAAGACTAGTTGACTAACCGGAAAGAATTCATGAGGTTATTTGACTATTCCATTGACTAATATTTAACATCACTAGCCCAGAACTCTTTGGGATCTGGGGTTGGATTCTTTATGGGTGGTTATGCCAGAGCAGTGCTAGGGGGCGCTGTGCTGCAGGCAGCCGGTTGGGTGACTTATCGGGGGCGTTCCCACCTCACAGCCAGTGCTGGTGCTAAGGGGTGCAGTAGAGGGTTTTTCCCCCTCCAGATCGGTGTAGACCCCAATGCTCTGTATCCATCGAGGGACAATCAGGGTAAGAGGCTGATGCTCATGCTGAAGGTAGAGCCAATGGAGTCAGCTGCAAGCCCTGGTACCCCAGCTGAATTATGTTCCTAGGAGTTTCTTTCTGGCCTCCCTGTGCTTCCCCTCTGCAGTTTCAACAGGACAGCAATTCTTCCCCCTCCTAAATGCATGAGCTGAGGTTATTTCTTAGTTGCAATGGAAAAATATTTTGCTGCTCTTGTGAGATATGATACAGGGAGAAATGTTCCTTTGCCTGCTACCTGTCACAGTATTATATCTACTGCATCCATAATTCAAAATGATCTGGACAATGTGGAGAAATAGTCTGAGGTAAATAGGATGAAGTTGAATAAGGACAAATGCAAAGTGCTCCACTTAGGAAGGAACAATCAGTTTCACACATACAGAATGGGAAGCGACTGTCTAGGAAGGAGTCCGGCAGAAAGGGATGTAGGGCTCATAGTGAACCACAAGCTAAATATGAGTCAACAGTGTGACGCTGTTTCAAAAAAAGCAAACATGATGCTGGGCTACAGGAACAGGAGTGTTGTGAGCAAGACACGAGGAGTCATTCTTCCGCTCTACTCTGCGCTGATTAGGTCTCAATTGGAGTCTTGTGTTCAGTTCTGGGCGCCACATTTCAAGAAAGATGTGGAGAAATTGGAGAAGGATTGGAGGTCTAGATTAAAGGTCTAGAGAACATGACCTATGAGGCAAGACTAAAAGAACTGGGCTTCTTCAGTTTGGAAAGCAGAAGACTGAGAGGGGACATGAGAGCAGTTTTCAGGTATCTAAAAGGGTGTCACGAGGAGGAGGGAGAAAAATTGTTCTCTTTGGCCTCTGAGGCTAGAACAAGAAGCAAGGGGCTTAAACTGCAGCCAGGCAGGTTTAGGTTGCACATTAGGAAAATCTTCCTATCTGTCAGGGTGGTGAAACACTGGAATAAATTGCCTAGGGAGGTTGTGGACTCTCCATCACTAGAGATATTTAAGAGCACGTTAGACAGACATCTGTCAGGGATGGTCTAGACCGGGGTGGCCAACCCATGGCTCACGAGCCGCATGTGGCTCTTCTCCCCCAAAAGTGCGGCTTGCAAAGCTGCACTTGTGTCCCTCCCCAACTGCCCCGGCTCCCCTGTGTTTACTGGTGGCAATTCAGAATGACGCCCAACATGGCAGCCGTCAACGGGAGCCTGATATGGCCAAAATGCCCAAGCTTGCTTCTTAAAGGAGCAGCCTCCTCTTTTTTGTTTTTTGTTTGTTTTGTTATTTGTTTTTTTGTTTTGCTTGACAATTCTGATGTGGCTTTTCACATTTCTTCTGCCGCTGTTTCGGCTCTCTTTAAATGGGTTGGCAGCCCCTGGTCTAGACAGTGCTGGGTCCTGCCGTGAGGGCAGGGGACTGGACTTGATGACCTCTTGAGGTCCCTTCCAGTTCTAGTGTTCTAGGATTCTGTGATCCGTTCTGTCTGGGATGTTGCAGTGGCAAAAAGCTGCTTTGAAACCAATCCTGAACAGTGGCAAGAAGAGTGGTTCTGATTTTACTCGCAAGTGTCCAGTCAGGTAAATAATAAGGATGTTAATACAGTTAACTAGTGAGCATGAAGCCCTTGCCAGTGAACTCTGGCCGGGCTGGAGCAGCCCTGGCCATGGAGGGGCCGGCGGGCCAGGCAGCAGGGACCCCACACCCATGTCAGGACCCCATGGCTGTGGCTGTGGAAGACATTGAGTTAAAATGGTGAACTAGTTAATTGTTTTAACATCTCTATTCAAAATCAATTAGGGTACGTACCTAGAACTGGTCAGGAAATTTCCATCAAACCAGTTTTCTGTTGGAAAATGCTATTGGATTAAACTGGAATCTTTCACAAAATCATGTTAATTTCTACAGTGTTTCCTCTCGGGAGGAAAAAAAAATAGGCTATTGCCATTTTCTAAATTTTCCTGGTTCAAACTGAAAGATCAGAAGTTTTTAGTTTAGAAACACACTTTATTATATGTGAAAAAGGCAGGAGTTTGAAGCTAAATTGTGAGTGTATTTAAACAAAACCTTTCGAATGACTCATTTTTTCCCAGGTATTTGTTTAGTAACAAATTTGAAATTTTGGCTTTTTGCCCTGACGTGGGATGAATTAATTTCTTGAAATATTTATTTGTTACAGGACCATCTGTTTTCCAAGCAGCTCACTTTGGGCCTTTTCTTGCTTGCTTCTTTTTGAGGGATAAAAAAGCTGGAAGTGTGTTTTCAATTTACATAATTTTCTGTGTATTTCCTTACAAAATAACCATTAAACCTTAACTATGTTGGATGTCTGATTGGAAGACTGAGAGATGTGGACAGGGAGTTTTTCTGGCAGTTTATGGACTCTTTAGAAAGAGTCATTCCCCCAGTTGTTTGATCGTTTGAGTTTAAATGTGTTACAACTTGAAACTGTCTGAATAAACCCGCTTGCTTTCTCCGTCACATGTCCTGACCCTACCAATGTCCAGTTGTCCTTAGAGTTCCCCAAGATCAAAAATTGAGTTAGAGAAGGCTTGGATTTCTAATCTAGAGGAAATTTCTGCAGCAGAATAGAAGCATGTTTTGTGGCCTTTGTCCATCCAGGAAAGAAGTGTTGTAAATACCCCACACCATATTTGGAGTCTTCTAAAATCCTCTCCCGACACACACCCTTGTGTCTCAATTTCTGCAGTCTCTGCAGCAGCCAGCGCAGGTGAAGCGGCGCGAGACTGTGGGAGTGCAGCCTGAGAATGCCGCCAAAGATGCCGCAGGGAAGCAGAAATCGTCTGCTGTTGAATTGGCCAGTGTGCCCAGCAAAAAGCCAGAGGCGGCCGGAAAGCCGAGCGAGACCCAGGGAGAGAAACAGGGCCCGGGAAAGACCGACGGAACCAAGAAATTAAAAGCAGGGAGGCAGGAGAAGTCGGAGGTTGGTGCCCCTGACAGCTGGCGGGTCCCAGGGGAGCCGGCTGGATGGCTTGTCTGGGGTAGAGTTGCTTCAAGGAGCAGCTTGTGTCTGTACGATCCTGGTGCTCTTCTCTGCCCCTGCCTGGCAAATGCTGCCCTGGCTAGACTTCCTCAGCACACTCTGCTGCCCCCTACTGGCTATAATCAGCAATGCTCAAGCATGTCATTAGCTGAGCCAAAATTGTATGTATAATCCCACGTCTGCCCCCCCTTCACCCGTGGGTTTTTATGTCTCCAACATGAGCCAAAATTGTATGTATAATCCCACATCTGCCCCCCTTCCCCCGTGGGTTTTTATGTCTCCAACGTGGACATCAACAGAGAGTCGTCCACAGCTTGGCTTTCGTCCCCAGGCTGTGCCTAGGTTTCCTCCTTCAGTGCTGCTCAGCCCACACCCTAGGTCCTCTTCCCCCTCATGCTGTCTCTGGGGGGTTAACGAGTGTCCCATCCCAGGGTGTGAGAACTGCTGATTGTGTCTGCTGCTTTGCTAGTGTGGGGGTCGGGGAGGGGGGAAGGACAGAGCACCTCGTGTTTGTCGCTCAGGCTTGTCTGTTTGCAGCTATATGCCTTAGCCAGGACCTGGGAGGATGGGCCCTATATGTTCATTCTGAAGATCGAGGGGCAGAGCAAGGACCCAAAAGTGGCCCCGAACTGGGAGCTCACAAGTAAGTGCAGCTGGGTTAGGTTGCTGCAACTTTGCCCCTCCACTCCCACGGCCTGGGTTGGAATCACTGGGGGAGCAGGTGTCTTGGTGGCCCTTGAACAGGACAGCTGTACAGGGGAAGGGTGACTGTCCCAGGGAGCGGGGGAAGGAGGGTGACCAGCCCAGGTGAACAGGTTGTGGGCAGGGGAGGGGTAGCTGCCCCATGGTGGGTAGAGGTGTGTAGTGACCCTCCCCGGGGGGCGGGGGAAGCAGAGGGAGGGGGCATAGAGAGAGGGAAGAGGAGGGTGTGTATGTTGGGTGGATGTCCTGGGTTGTGAGCAGGTGTGGGGGGGCTGGTGGCAGGGGGATGAGGGAGGAGGGGCAGTCATCCCAGGGAGAGTGGGGGGGAAGGGGGTTTGGTGGGGGGTTGTTTCAGGGAAAATGGGGGGAGGGGAGGGATGGTGAAAGGGACAGCGAATGGGCCTGGAGAACAGCTGTTGTGGTGGGCGGGCGTCTCGCCTCTCGCTGCTTCCCGTTCCCAGCTGCGTGTTCCCTCCCCAGTTGACGTCCAGATGAAGCACCCTGTCTACCAGTACATCTCGGCCTCCGAGTGGCCGCTCATGGCGGTGAGTGAGAGGAGCGGCTCCTGACCCGGGTCAAGGCACCGGGGAGGCCCCAAACCCCCGCGGTAGCTCAGTGTAGGGAGCACAGCCTGGGGGATCTAACATTTCCCCCTTGCCATCCTCGGCTTGAGTGCCAACGGCATTAAGTGGAGATCAGCCGCCGCGTTGGCTGGGCCCCCTGCAGGAGCTTTCCTGGGATGTCTCTTCGCCCCAGGCTTGGATCTGCTGCTGTCTCTCACTCCTGGCTGTTTTGGGGCCTCCCAGTGGGTCTGCCTGCCCCTGCGGGTAACTGCCCAGTTCTGCCTGTCCCCATGCATTCCACTGAGGGTACATGCCCCCCTTTAGCACCGCCAGCTGGGACGCTGGCTGGCTGTGCAAGCTAAGCAGGGTTTGGTCAGGTCAGTACTAGGATGGGAGACTGCTGGAGAATATCTGTGTGAAAGGATGGGGGGGTGGTAGCCTCTTTGGGCCAGTTCTAAGCCCAGCATGGTGAAGGGGATGCTGCTCCATCATGGCACTGGTGGGAGTTTGTGGACTTGGTAGGGGGCCCTATCTTGTCCAATTCAGGACCAGGCTCCATTATGGCATAGGGGGATGCTGTCCTGCAGGGGCTGGGAGGCCCAGTAGGGGGTGCTTCCCTTTTGCAATCAGAGCTTCCCATCCCAGTGCTAGGGGGTGCTGCCAGAAGCAGCGGTCTCCTTAGGGGCGCTTTCCCCTGGCAGCAGTAGGGGGCACTGGCCCCTCGGGTCCGGGGGAGGCGGAGCTCTGCGATCAGGCCCGGACGCTGCGCCCTCTCTCGCCCGCAGTTCTACATGGCCATGTGCGTGGTGTATGTGTTCTATGGGGTGCTGTGGCTGGCGCTGCTGGCCTGCTACTGGCGGGCGGCGTCATCCTGCTGGGCATGCTGGAGAAGGCTGTTTTCTACGCTGAATTCCAGAGCATCCAGAGCCAGGGCGTGTCTGGTGAGTGCCCGGCCACCGGGGCAGCTCCCGCTCCGGAGGGTCACTAGCGCCGCACTGGGGTCAGCGCCAAGAGGGCACTGTGCCAGAGGGAGTGGGGTGGGGGCTCACTGGCAGGGCTCTCCACTCACAGTGCTGGTGGTGCTGTGCTGCAGGGAGATGGGTGGAGGTCACTAGGGGGTGCTTGGCCCTGGCGGTGCTGGCCCCAGTGCGGCGCTAGGGGGCGCTGTGCTGCAGGGAGCAGGGTGGGAGTCAGTAGGGGGCGCTTTGCCCTGGCGGTGCTGGCCCCAGTGCAGCGCTAGGGGGCGCTGTGCTGCAGGGAGCAGGATGGGAGTCAGTAGGGGGCGTTCTGCCCTGGCATTCAGTGCTGGCCCCTAGGGGGTGCTGTGCTGCGGGGTACTGAGGACCAGCAGGGGTTGCTGTCCCTGCAGCCAGCTGTACCATGCATCAGCCTAGTTTTGGTGAGCAAGGCGGGGGACACTCTCCCCTTTCAGCATCAGGCCTTTTTGCTGCCCTGTCTCAGCGGCGGATTTGCGGAGGGACCTCCAGGAGAGCAGCGCTGCTGCCTGTAATCGTTAGATTACACTGGGCATTGCGTGGTGCCTCTGTCCCGCTGGACATCCCTTGCTGGGAAGTCTGCTCCCCGTAGCTGCTGCTGCTCCTGCTTGGGTCCGCTGGCCCCTCTGCATTTCCTTCAGGCTCCCAGTTCATGTCTCCAAAGCTTCCTCACCTGGCCTGAGTGCTGTTCCTCCAGGAGGGGTGGAGCTGCTCTCCCCTCCGACGCTGTCACCAGCCGCCCCGGATCCGTTGGGCTCGGTTCCCATTTGGGAACTTCCTTGGTTTCTTGGCGCCCCAGCTGGGCCGTGGCTGGGGCCCTGAGCCCGCTCCCCGCCTGGTGACACCTCCTTGCTTTTCTCTCCCGTCGCAGTGCAAGGGGCCGTGATCTTTGCGGAAGTGCTGTGTGCGGTCAAGCGCATGCTGGCTCGAGTGCTGGTGATCATCGCCAGCCTGGGATACGGCATTGTCAAGTGAGCACCTGGGGCGGCCCAGGGAGAGGGCAGTGGGGGCTGGTACCCAATGAACAGACTTGGGGTGGGGGGGCGCGTGGCAGATCAGCCCGTGCATCCTGGTGGATGAGCCCTGGGGAATGCTGCTGAAAGGAACAGCCAGTTTCCTTCCTGCCCCGCCCTGCCAATGAGGCGTGTCCATCCTGAAGCCTGAGCGCTCATCTTCCCCTTCCTGACCTGCAGGAAAGGTAGCAGGGAGGCCCCTTCAGAAATTTTTGAAGTGGCTCCGGGGCACCCTGGAAGGGGCGGGGTCTCAGGTGGAAGGGGCAGGGCCTGGGCAGCCAGCCTCAGCACTGCCTGGACCTCCGCGTGGCGCTAGAGGCATTCAGCCTCTGGCTAATAGCACTCCATAAATTTATCTAACTTCTCTTTAAACTCTGTTATAGTTCTAGCCTTCACAGCCTCCTGCGGCAAGGAGTTCCACAGGTTGACTATGTGCTGTGTGAAGAAAAACTTTCGCTTATTAGTTTTAAACCTGCTGTCCATTCATTTCATTTGGTGTTCTCTAGTCTTTCTATTATGGGAACTAATGAAGAACTTTTCTTTATTCACCCTATCCACTCCACTCATGATTTTATAGACCTCTATCATATCCCCTCTCAGTCTCCTCTTTTCTAAGCTGAAAAGTCCCAGTCTCTTTAGCCTCTCTTCATATGGGAACTGTTCCAAACCCCTGATCATTGTAGTTGCCCTTTTCTGAACCGCGTGTGGGAGGGGGTGGGACTCCCATGGGGGGCAGGTCTGGCGCCTGTGCCAAGGGGTATATGGGTGGAGATGGGTTACACCGCATGGGGCTTTGGGGGCTACGTGCAGCCGGGGGGCCTGGAGGAGGGGATCCCGGGTGCGGTAACCAGCCCTGGGCAGCCTGGAGTTGGGGCCTAAGTGACAGCAAAGGGGGTGCTTCAGCTGCCCTGCGGTGGGTGGGAGACAGAGCATCTGAACAGGGTTTGCGGAGGCACCCAAAGCAGAGCGGCAGGGGCATCCCTGGGGCACTGCCAGCTGCGGGCAGCCGTCTGTGGGGCAGGGCTCTCTCCTGGCATTCTGCGGTAACCAGCCCTGGGCAGCCTGGAGTTGGGGCCTAAGTGACAGCAAAGGGGGTGCTTCAGCTGCCCTGCGGTGGGTGGGAGACAGAGCATCTGAACAGGGTTTGCGGAGGCACCCAAAGCAGAGCGGCAGGGGCATCCCTGGGGCACTGCCAGCTGCGGGCAGCCGTCTGTGGGGCAGGGCTCTCTCCTGGCATTCCTCCTTGGAGTCCAGCCCCCAGGGGGTCACCCCCCAGCCATAAAGGTG